GATGAACTTTGGGGAAGATGGGTATTCTGAAAAATATGTGGCATTCCTAAGGAAATTAACATTAAAAGAGATAATAATTGCTTGTTCATATTCCGAAAGAGGGTTTCCTGGGCCCAATGTATTGTGTCAAAACTGTTGCTTGGTTAATTTTTTATATATAAAAATGAGATTTTGACAATAAGACTGGCTATGCTTTATTTATATATTTCTTGTTATAAATATAGCAGGTATGGGCAAGCGTGTCCGAATAATATATCTTGTGGGCCAAAACAGAAGAAATTTGGTTGATACAGGTTGAAATTGAAATACCCAAGCTTTCAGAAGTGATACTTAAACTCACACTCTAGTGTATGTTACCCAAGGGCATCTCATGAGATAAAATACTATATCTATTGCTTCCCTCTTGGCCAGAAGTTGTTGATTTCAATGTTCAAGATGTGCAGTTTTATTTTTAAAAATTGTTTACTCACAGCAGTTGGCGGGTGCTCTGGTGTGGTTTGCTCCTTTCTTATCAAACATCTATCGTCCTTATCTCCCCTTCTTCTTTTTTATGTTTGTTACTCTCTTATATCTCCTCTAATCTTCTGGCACTCATATGACCGTTTTGTATTGCAAATGCCATAAAATACTTACTAAAACTGAACATTCATTATTCATTACTGGAATGACTCACGGGCTGGATTGAAATTTCTCCTAGTCTGGATCTGGCCCGCCTGTTGTATAGCTTACTTATGTTTCCACGTTTTGTATTTTTTTTTTGTTTTTTTTTTTTTTGTTGTAAGTGTTCTACTCCGCTCGCAACAGCATAAAGTCATATGAGCGTGCGGGACACATTAAACTTTTTCAATTGGTAGGAAATTTTCAATTTTGCCCGGGTGGCAGCCGAAGCCTACTCTTATCGATTTTAAACCACCAAGGGATCTTTATCGTGCGCAACTTGCACACGGGCCCTCCGAGATTTTTCGCCCATTTCCGAAAAGTCTAGGTGTAGTTCTTTTCTACCAGAAGATCAGGGGTGTGGCTGAAAGACAGCTGTAAGAAGGAGCCAAGGAGTAGCAGTAGAAAGGCTGCTGAAAGTCAAGAGCCCAGAGGAGGGGGCAAAGGAGGTGAGGGGGTGGGGGCAGAAAGAGGAGATGATAGCAGACGACAGAACATTGCTAGAGAGCAGGAAAGGAGTTTAAAGGAGACAATTTTTAGAGAAGAAAATTTTTCAGTCGCTGCCCGGATTTGAACACGGTACCTTTGAATGATAGGCCAACACCTTAATCTCTTGGCGACGAGAGCCCCCTACATTTTGTATAACATTCTCGTGATCATAACCAAATTTTTGGATGCTCATGTCCTGTGAGGCGGCCCTGGTGCTCTAAAGCTGCATCTTTACTGTTGACAATAGATCATCATCATCATCATCGTCTTTCTCATCCTTGATCAGGGTATAAGCCACGAACCAACACTTTCCACCTTTCCCTATCCTGGGTTAGCCTCTTGATGCTATTTCATGTCTTCCCACTTTTCTGTCCAGACTGTATCGAGTGGGTTTCGCTGACTCCTAGTATGTGCATCCTGTATCTCTTCATCTCTTGTGACACTTGAGGACTCTTTCCTGCTTCTTACATGGTGCGAACATTCCACGACTGACAATAGATACTACAGTTTGATAAATTAGATTAACATTCCGTCGTGTGACATTTTGTTTCCTTGTCTCCTCACAGCATGGGAGCCCTAGCCTTCCAGTCTCACGGAGAGTATCCATGGAGCGGATACAAACAGACAGACAGGGGCTTTGCCCTTGACCTAACGGTAACATGAAATTTTATGTTTGAGAGTAGTGGTTCTTAACCTGAGTACAGTTGGTCGCTTTTAAGGACAAGCGGGCTAACCCAGATTTCGGGGGGTTTCCAGAAATCTTGACCTACACCAAAAATGGGCATTGCCCTACCTCTAGGGGAAGTTTGGTTTCATTGGTGTGTATATCTGTTTGGTTATAGTGGAAGCTCTCCTTGTCTTTTAAAGAAACTGAACAAGAGGCGAAAGCTTAACTTTCTATTTTCTCCAAACGGTATTTTTCGGGATAGCGCCCTTGTGCTTAAAAGCGACCAGTTGAGCCCCGTTGTTTTATGGTGAGTCAGTTTCAGAGGTTTGGTGGAGGTCAAGAAAAAACACACGCGGTGTTTGTTTATATCATGTGTCCGTTACCTTCACCCTACTTGACGCGTTTGGTGAATGCACAAATGAAATTTGCGGGGTTCATGTATTTCTGACAAGGTTAAGAAAAACTGGTTTATAGTGGAATATTCCTCTTTCCTTCTTTTTCAGTGTCACTTTGTGATTCGGTTGTGTGGAAGATGTATTGAAAGTTGCAAAAAAAAAAAGTCAAAAGTGCTACTCTAATTAAATAGCTGTCTGTTATTATGTTCTGGATTTATTCTCCTTCAAAAAAATTATTGCTGGCATCATAAATGAGAATGTTTATGTGTCTACTACAGAGAAATTGAATGGGTTTTCGGGGAAGGTCTGTAAAATTTGTCATATTCTGACGCTCTTTCATTTTTGTTTGTATTTTTTGGTCGGCTTCTCACAAACAGGTCTTTTCATGACGCATATTGCTTAAGATTTGACGAACTCAAATAAAAACAGCATTTCATGATTAGTATCTTTATATCGATTACCTTTGTTTTATACTCTGTCGGATGCGGGAGCATTTTTTTAATACGTTTTTTTTTTGTCTCCAGTTCCCGACTATGTTTGGATCCCACAATCTCCAGTGGGAGGGGGTGTGGCGAGACTTGCGGGCTTTGTCTCGGGAAACATCCTTCTCCGTGCGGGAACAGGCTGGACACAGCCTCAAGTCCAGCTTAAAGGTGAGTTGTTCCGATCGTTTGTATTTTTGATTATTGTGGTGCTATTATTTGAGTCTTCTGATGTAGAATATGTGAGGTGTGCTGACAAAATGAGTTACTTCTCGCAATCCGTGAATAGAGATATCTGCCAAAAATGGACACAAAGGTCATATTATTATAGATTTTAAACCAATGCGGTTCAATTCTCTTCAAGTTTAACATGTCTTTTATCTTTTCATACTAATAAATTGTAAGACTCAGCCTAAAAAATTGACGTATCTATTTCCATCAGGCTAAAATCGGAGAAAAAACTCATTTTGTCAGCATGCCTCACATATGATCTTTTCTTTTTTTTTTTAAAGTTTTGAATGAGGATTATTATCTAGGCTGCTCAGTGTAAGACACACCATTTGTCACTTTTCAAAATGGGGTGTAGTGGAGTCCTACAAGAAGCAGTTGATATGTGGGGTGTCTGTTTCATGCTCCTGTGGTACAGATTTATTTGAAGCAATCTGGAAGTGTTTGACGGAGAAGCTTTTGAGTGTTGTTATAGTGTGTTATGGTTTATGTGTCCATGAGAGCCAATTTTATTGTTCCTAGCTTTACAACCCATAAGCTGTGACTCTGCCATGGAGATGTGAATGGTAACAGGAGATTGTGTTATTTTGAAAGTTTTCAAGGGGAGAATTTTTATTGAATATCTCGGTATTTCTGCTGGAATTTTGGTGTCCCTCTCCGCCGGGGTTGGTTTTGACTGGCAGGGTTGGAAGCTGGCCTCGTAAATGATCTAAATAGTTTTGATGGAGGTTTAGAAAGGTCTATATTACTTTATAAGTTTCTTTTGTATTTTGCACTTATATCGTTATATATCGTTAAGAAAAAAGTGAATTCTTTTTATAGTTGGATTTTTTCTTCAGGTTGTATTTCCTTCTGCACTCTTCTCTGCTTTTGCTTTGTATTTTTTATTTTCCATCTGGAACCAGCTCAAACAGATGTAGAGTTAAAGTTGCAATTCGTTTTTGAAAACTTTGGAGCAGGAAAATGAAGGACGAATTCTGGTCACTGATTTCTGCTTCTGATCTGGCACTGTTATGTGTTGATGATGAATAAATTTGTGTCGTTTTCTCCAGCACACTTTCTCCATCGACACACGAGATGATCGTATCTTGCCCACCACAGGAACGCTATGGCAGACGTGTCAGGTCAGTTGAAATGTTAAATTTGTTCATCTGTGTATTTAAGTGTGAGTAAATACGAGTTGTTTTTTTCCCAACTTTGTGTTGAAGTTTGAGTTAATGTGAGACTTTTATTTTTTTTGTCGTGGATGGTTGGTGGGTGCTCTAGTGTGGTTTGCTTCTTCTTTCCTATCGAAAACCTATCGTCCTTATCTCTCCTCCTTCTTTTTTGTGTTTGTTACTCTCTTGTAACACCTCAAATCTTCGGCACTTATATGACTTTATTGTATTGCAAGTGCTGTAAGACTCTTACAAAAATTTTTTTTTTTGTCTGCGTCTTAAAGTGTGAATACACATGAGAGTTTTATTTTTTCGTGTGCGTCTTTATAATGTGTGTAAACATAAACGCTTTATTTTTCTGTGTCTTACAGTGTAAGTATACATCAATCTTTTGTTTTTTGTCTAACCTTTGTCTTAAGAAGCCAAGGTGTGCTGTGGGTAGTATTTCCAGATTTGATCTAAAATGGGTAAGAGATTTTCCAGATCTCTCAATACTGTTCTGTGTTCGTCACTTTCATTGTGTCTTTCGTTTCAGTTTCTGAATGAGGCTGAAAATGTTGAAAAGTACACTCTCCCTGGTTGTAAATTTTGTTTTCATGGTATCTTTTTGGCTAGTGTTTTAGAGTGCTCGCAACTGCATAAGGGCATATGAGTGCAAATTTTATTTTTATACATGTTTTTTCTTTTGAATGAATGGTGAAGAGACAATATGAAAAATAACCACCATTTATTTATTTTCTGCAACGGTCTCGTACTTTTTCTTCAGTAGGTTGATTTTAAATCTGAGTATTTGATTGTCAGTTTGCAGATATTTGTGTGTGTTTTGAAGCTTTGATAATATGACAGTGTTTGTTTTGCGCTCAGTCTTTCACATTTATTCACGGTTTATATTTTTACCTCTTTCTTTTTTTATATGATTCCTCTCTCTCTGCAGGAGTACGCCGGCATTGGAGGGAATGTTGAATTTGCCAAGCAAGACGGAACTTTCCAATGGAACACGTCCTTAATATGGGACACAGTGAGTTTTTCTTACTGTCATTTTTGAGTCCATAAGGTTTGGACGACTTTTTCTCCAGTAACGATCTGTCAGTGAAATAGCTGGGCAGTAGAATTGGGTCAGGCTCACTGGATAAATCGGTGTCCGCGAGTGTGCATATCTCCGCTCAACAGCAAGCTCTATGTGCTTTTATAATCCGTATTATTACTTTGGTAGACCCTTAAATTCTCAGAAACATTCTCAGCGTCCAGGGAAGCATACAATGCAAGCAGCCGATTAAGCAGTCAAACATTGTATAATGACAAGATCTTTGCCTTTAGATAGACAGAATACCCATTTCCACTTTGGGGGGAGGGGGGTGGGGGGGGTTGTGTGTGTGTGTGTTTGTTTTGTTTTGTTTTTTTCTGGGTTTTTTTTGTGTGTGTGAATTGTGGAAAGTTCATGTAAAGTGCCTTTCCCCAAGGACACACACAACGTTGTTGGGCCCCGGGTGGGATTTAATCCCATGATCTTTCAATTGCGAACCCAACAGTCTAATCACCAGACCCTCTGACAATATCGAAACATTTGTGAAGCGTGCTGACAAAGTGAGTTACTTCTTGGGTTCGAGCCCTATGGGAATAGATACATCACCTTTATAGATGAAGTTTTTACAATTTATAAGTATGAAATAGTGAAAGGCATGTTATACATAAAGAATATGGATCCAATAGAAAATCTACAAATTTGACCCTGGTGTGCGATTTTTGGCCAGTTATCTCCATTTGTGGATCGCGAGAAGTTACTTATTTTTGTCAGTCAGTGCGCCTCACATTTCTTGTTTTGTGTTTCCCACAGATCTTCCAGGTCTCTCTTGCTGGTGGTGTCATGCGACCTCTTGACCCCAAGGCATCTGTGAATATTAATGACCGTTTCTTCCTGGGTGGCCCTCTCACCTTGCGGGGATTTAACCTCCATGGTTGTGGCCCTCATAGTCACGGTGAGAGAACTCTGTGTGAATTAATGTGTGAGTTGCTTTGAAGGACAAGCGGGCTAACTCAGATTTCAGGGATTTCCAGAAATTTTACCTACACCAAAAGTGATCATTGCCCTACCTGTAGGAGAAGTTTGGTTTCATTGGTGTGTATGTTTGTTTTGGTTATAGAGAAAACTTCTCCTTGTCTTTTAAAGAAACTGAAGGGGGGGGGCAAAACTTTACCTTCGGTTTTCTCAAAACAGCATTTCTCGGGATAGCCCCCTTTTGCTTAAAAGGGACTATGTGTGAGGCAGGATGGTGAAATCAGGCGCTCGTCAAAGTAATGAAATCAGAGAAATCGGCATTTACTCGCCAGTTTTGCGATTTTTATAATTTTTTTGTTTTCTGGTTACCTTTTATATCTATTGAAAAACACATTTCTGTGAAGATTTTAATGGAAAAAATTGATAAAAGGCACAAAAAATGTAAATTATTTGTTTCCAAGGTCTTTCAAGCTATGTAAGCACTGGACTTTGGTGGCCATTTCCTCGCTAATTTTACAGCTGAAATCAGGGTTACCCCCACGTCCTTCAATTGCAAAGATCTTGAATTCTATTCAAGATAGATGGGTCATTTTTTAAATCATATTCAAAACAAGTGAACAAAAAAAACCTGTCAGCACATTGAGCGTATTGTTGGAATAATTATTTTTGTTAGACCATGGTCGTGCCCCATGTCAGATTAATAAAAAAAATTAAAAATTCCACCCTCTACTTGGCGTTTACATAAGACAATAACTTGATTCTGATGATGAGACAACTTTGTTAAAATCCATGTCATTCTTAGATCTTTTTACAAGGATGTCCATCCCTACGGTATATTGTACTCACAATTATAACCACTTTACCGTGGACTGAATTTTTATGGTCCAGTTACGTCCTTTTATTCTCATGTGTTACTTCGTGGTCTGTAATGGAAAAAAAACACTTTTGTTTCTGTCCTCCTTACGTTTCCCAGCGCACACTTACTTTATAAGTTTCTTTTGTATTTTGCACTTATATCGTTAT